CGTGGAGCATAAAAACAAAGCAAAAACTGAAGGAACAATACAGCAGCCGACTCACAAAACTCAAGAATGGACTGACAGTTGCCAAAGGGAAAGCGACTGGGGAGGGTGGGGGGGAAAGAGAGGGAGAAGGGGAATAAGGGCCTGTAGGACTAGCACACATAATGGGAGGAGGGGCACAGGGTAGGCAGTATAGCACAGAGAAGACAAGTAGTGACTGTGCATCTTACTACACTGATGGACAGTAACTGTAATGGGGTATGTAGTGGGGACTTGACAATGGCAAGAATCTAGTAACCACAATGTTGCCCATGTGATTTTACATTAATGATACCAAAATAAAAACAAGTAAATAAATAAAATATACATACCAATGTATATATACACAAATGTGGTGCTCACTTAACACCATAGAGATTTTTTAAATTATGAAGTTTTCAAAAGGATGGCATGGCAAATTGTCTAACAGCAGTTACCTTGAAGGAGTGTGTTCAGAGAGCTCATTCATTTTTGTTGCTTACAGCAATTTCTCTATTGTTCACATTTGTTAAAGAGTATATATTGTTTTTGTTTTACTTGAAGTATTGATAGAGAATCTTGTATTCTTTTCAAGTATACAACATAAGAGGTTCAAAAGTCACCCGTGTTATTAAGTCCTCACCCCCACTAGTGCAGTTACTGTCTGCCATCATAGTAAGATGTCACAGAATCATTGGCTATATTCTCTATGCTGTACTACTGTCCCCATGACCAACATACATTATGACTGAGAATTTTTTTGCCTCTTTATCCCCCTCCTCTTCCCCTCCCACCCCTGCTCCTCCCCCAGGGTAACCACCAATCACTTCTCAGTGTCTTTAAGTCTACTGCTGTTTTGTTCCTTCTGTTTTGCTTTGTTTTTTTATTCCACAAATAAGTGATGTCATATGGTATTTGTCTTTCTCAGCCTGGCTTATATCGATGAGCATAATATCCTCTGGCTCCATCCATGTTGTTGCAAATGGTAGGATTTCTTTTTATGGCTGAATACTGTTCCATTGTGTATATGTACCACATCTTTTAATCCATTCATCTATTGATTGACACTTAGGATATTTCCATATCTTGGCTACTGTAAAGAATGCAGTTAAACACAGGGGTGCATATATCTTTTTGAATCAGGGATCTTGTTTTCTTCAGGTAAATTCCTAGAAATGGAATTACTATGTTGAATGGTATTTCTGAACACACTCCTTCAAGTTTTTTGAGGAATCTCCCCACTGCTTTCCATAGTAGCTGCACCAATTGATAGTCCCACCAACAGTTTAGGAGGTTTCTCCATTCTCCATATCCTTGCCAGCACTTGTTTTTTCCTGTCTTTTGGATGTTGGCCATTGTAACTGGTATGAGGTGAGATCTCATTGTGGTTTTATTTGCATGTCCTGGAAGATTAGCGATGTGGAGCACCTTTTCATGTTCCTATTGGCATCTCTATTTCTTCTTTGGATAAGTGTCTCTTCAGGGAGTATGCAATCATTTTTTGTGATAAAATAAAGTTTGGCGATTCTAACTGCCAAAAAAAGATGCCCACCAGTTATGAGGGGTCCTGAACAGAGGAGGCAAAGGGCAGGAAAATTTGAGGTGAGGACAGTCTAGGACCCTGGGGCCTTTCTGGCAGGTTCTGGAAGTGAGCAGGGAAGCCTCTATGGCAGCTGCACCAAGCTGGTCCTGTACCTGTGGCTCCAGAGCCTCAGTCCATCCTTTCCAATCCTGTTCCCTGGACTGCCTTAGGAATCCAGGCAGTTGAATAAATGGACCACTGCTCATTATTGTTTATTGACTTGGCTATTTCTTGGTTTGACACATGGGATGAGGAAAACATAAAATAGCATAATAAGGGTCATTTTAAGGTCCACTTTGCTCTATATCACTGATTCGGTATTGAGCTCCTGTCTGACTCTAGTCCACTCCTGCAGTGTGACTTTGGACCATCTATGTTCCTGCGAGGGAAAATGTGATTTCAGGTGAGAGAGTGCCTTTGCTACTTACAGCTGAGCTGCGTATGCTAAGCTGTTCATCCTGAGAGTACTATGCAGCATTTTTTTTTTTTTTTGCTCAGTGATACAAAAGAACCTAATCAGCTTTCCTTTAATTAGGCTTCCTTCCTTCCTTCCTCCTTTCCTCCCTCCCTTCCTTCCTTCCTTCTTCCCTCTTTCTTTTTGTAACTTTGGGGAAGTATTTTACGTTTGTTCTGAGATACCATATCCTGAGAACACTGATGAGTGTGACTTTGGTGTCTGACTGCCTTTCTGCAGAAGCCACACGACGTTCTGCACAGCTTTGTGGAGAACCTGTGGGGCTCCTCACGGTCCATCTCAGGCTCCTAGCAAAGGAGCACCGTCCTTCCTGCGGCAGATAGGAGGACTGGTCTAGACGTGTGTTCACTCTTGCCACTAACTAGTTTAGGGACCTTAATTGGGCCCACTGAGAGGTCTACAAAAAGTACCACGGAAGTCCAAGAGAAATTACCTCTTGTATGGGGAGTACCTGTTTGCAAGGAGCAAAGGCCTGGGTCAGCAATGATGTTTCCGATCCGTCTCCATCGTGCGGGCCGACGTCTGGTTCTCAGCTCGGGGGACTGCGTGCACAGACATCACTAGCAGCCCTCGTCACCTGTCTGGAGGGGAGCGTGGGCAGGGACGAGGGGTGCCCAGCGGACCTGGCCGCAGCCCAACGCAAGCGCGCACTGGCTGCGCGCACTGGCTGCGCGCGCCCGGGAGCAGTGTGCTGCCTGAGGCCTCCAGGCCAAGGCGGGCGCAGACCAGGGCCCCTTCCCTGCCCTGCGCGGCGCCCGGGGAAGCCCTTCTCGGACTCTGAGAGCGCACCGAGGCTTCCTGGGAGGGCGATGCGCCCAGCAGATCCAGGCGCCAGCCCACCCGAGCCTCCTGGAGACAAGGGGCCACCAAAGCCAGGACACACGAACCCATATATGCCGCAGCCGACATACCTGGGTTTCTCCTGGTGCTCCTTCCTTAAAAGCTTTCTACTGTTTCTCCTGAGCCATCAGATTGTGAATTCTACTTTGGTCGTGTCTTCCACAGCCAGCCACTCAGGGACATCATCTGACCTCAGGAAGTCACCAAAAGGCTTTCGGCGCCGACCACCAGGTGGCCCTCACTTCCTGTGGCCCTCATTTCCTACGGCCCAGTGGCTTTGGGACACGGACACTGGTAGGACCTTGAGGATTTTTGTATTGAAGGTACTTGCCCGGAGTCATACTACCGGTTTAGGCCAGAGTCAAGGAGCGAGCCAAGTTTGCAGCGTCCGCGGCACCCAGTTGGGCGGTTACCCCGCTGCTCACGTGGCGAGGCACCGGCTCTTTGGAGCTCCGACTGTGGCCGGGGTGCATGCAATCATTTTTTGTGATAAAATAAAGTTTGGCGATTCTAACTGCCAAAAAAAGATGCCCACCAGTTATGAGGGGTCCTGAACAGAGGAGGCAAAGGGCAGGAAAATTTGAGGTGAGGACAGTCTAGGACCCTGGGGAAAGGCCTGCCGTGCACCATGGAGGCCAGGGTTGCTCAGAGGTGCCCTGCGCCCCGCGGCCCGACTTAAGAGGGCAAGGGCAAAGCAAAGCCACTTTCACAGCCAGGCCGGCCTCTGCCTCGTTCACTCTCACACCGGAGATCGCTGTTGTCCAGAGGCTGAATGACTTGTTACTGCTCTGAGAGCCAGTGGAGTGTGACTTTTGTCTTGAAGGGCTCAGTTTCTAATATGATAGGTATCAACTGACGTAGCCCTTAAAAGATATAAGCCCCTTGGGCGTCTTAGGCAACTTCTGGGTTGTAAATGGGTTCCTGAGACCAGAAAGTCTGGGTACCCTGGCTGGGATCTATGGGCAAAATTTTATTTTTAACACTGTCCTATTCTTCATAAACAGGATGATAAACCACAAGGGAACACTGGGGGTAGCAGTTCCTTTACAGCCATGAGAAATGAAAGGGACTAAAAGCCAAACAGGAAGAAATTAGGGGAGCAACAAGCAGCTGAAACAAACCAGTAATTTTTATTCCGCAGATTGCTTACTAACTAGACAGGGCTAGGGGAGCCCAGAGCTTCAAGAATAACTGGCTATGCACCAGATGAAATATGCAATCAAGTGGGAACTCCCCTAATTGCAGGTCCATTTATGAGCCCAGCAGAAGGCATAGTGGGATTTCCCTCCCATCACCACCTAATCCCTTAAGTTAAGAGATACCAGGACAAGATTGTCATTCATTTTTTTTGCATACTTTATTTGTTACAAACATACAATTTTTTTAAATATAGACTGTAAAACTCCATTTGCAAAAGTCTTATTGTAAGGAGTGCACACCAGCAGTAAGGATTCTTCAACCTTTTTCTATGCTTTTTTTCTGTCAGTTTGCTCATTAGTGGTAAATATGGAACCTGCCACTTCACAGACCAGTCTGAAGCCTCTGGCTCTGTTCACATGGCTCCTTTGAAGCAGCCTTGCTTGTCTTGAAATTGACCAGCATCTGAGCTTCAACCTCAGGACAGTGACATCAACAGCCCGTGTAGAGTCTGCTTGAACATTTCCAGGAAGTGTGATTTCTGAATGGGCACTGCACTTCACGGGTCTATTTGAATTACCCATGAAGCTGTTTGTTAAAGTGCATTCTTCTTTTAAAAATAAGAGGAACAGTCTACTCTTTAACCAAGGTACTTAAAAAAATGAACTTTTTGGTCTCTCAGCAGATATTCCCAAATTGATCCCTTTCACTACAAATTTTATTGTCCTATTTACAAATATTTATAGGGTTACAGGTGGAGGGGACCTTATAAAATTAAAGATGCAGCTTCTCTTGAAATTCAGTCCTACAAATTCGTACATAGGAACACATACTTGGTTTACATGCACAAGCATGTGGATATTTACACAGAGACTGAAGACATCCCCAAAGAAAGTAACTTCTAACCTAAACTCTAGTTGTACATGGTTTAAAGTAACTTCCAACCTAAACTCTAGTTGTACATCTAGATCAAGGAGATTTGTCTCCTGCTATCATGATTTGGCTTTAATTTGCTTCTGTAAATTCTCTACTGACAGGACATCAGCCCTGACTTTGAAGTGAAGAGTCTAATCTAAGGAGGCCCCAGTAGATATGACAGCAGGGAAGTTCCTCTAGGTGGAAAGTACATTATCTGGAATTATTAGAAAACAGATGAACTTGGAAAAACATCTACATAAAGGTGCAAAAGGAAGAATAAATCCTTACTAACTGTCCTATAAATTTAGGAAAAAGAAGTCCAAATACACTGATCATCTATTATTCAAACATTGACAATCATGGAAAAGCCTCAATTATGCTTGACTGCTATCATAACATACTGAACTGTATGTTGACTTTTTAAGTATGCCCTGTACTGATTTAAACTGCATCTGGACTTTTGCCCAATCTATTAACTTCTAGGAATGCAGGCAGCTTGTGTATACAGAGGTGGCATGTGGGCTGTGAAAAAAGGGTTTATACTTCCTAGCTGAATGGTTTACAGTGACACTCTCAAATTCCTACACACAATCCAGCTTAGTGATACAATTCTCCCTGCAGTTGTAAGTCCCTGGAAGGGAATTTAAAAAGGGAAGAAGTACACTACTTGCCATTCTATTTCCAAATACAAAGATATTTTGCACCAGCCTGATCTTCCAACGAAGAATAGGACTGGAGGTGAATGTATGCCTTCAGGAAGAGAGAGTCAGTCTAAATCAATCTTCTTGAGTCGGCTGTTGAAGTCACTGAAGGTAGGAAGAAAGACAAACTCCATGTTCTGCAACATGCTAGTGGGCAATGAACTTGAACGGGTCCACTGCTTCCTCTCTGAGACTCCTGGCTACAATTCACTGTACTGAAGATATATTCAGGCCTCTCTTACACATGTCAATGGATATTTTACATTTAATATAGAGAAAATGAAATTGTCTCATAGATTCACAATCTCCTATTAGAATCACTTAGGGAAAAAAAGGCAACATTTCTGCCTCAAATACAGCTCTGCCCTCACATTACCCAAAGCCCTGCTAAGCAGTGCAGCTACCTACATGGCATGTGCTCTTGTCTTAAGATGGCTTTACCTACTCCAGCTGGGATGTCTAATCAAAGAGGTATGAGTTAGACATTTAGATGAAATGCAGAAGATTGTGAATAAAGGTGATCACATTGATGGCATATTTCCTATTTCATTAGGAAATACAAACTACATTCATAAAATGACTTACTTGGATTAGGAGTACAGTTATCAATTGGAAATAACCAAAGTAGGAAGTCTTAATGGTGCAATTTTATTTTTTCATATTCTAAATTTAATTTTCCTGACAACTGGATCACTTCAAAATAAATGAGTCTGTTAAATCTATTAGTAATGAAACTAAGTTTTAAGACAGATGGCTAGGGACAGTGACTTTAACTAAATAGCCAAGTTAGATATATCGACAGAACTCACCATTTGTATAGGCTATCTCTTGAAATTTCTGGGGGCTAATATTTAAAAACTAGTGACTCTGCTTTTCTAGATTAAAGACAGAGAAAGTGAATTTATAATTTGCCATTTCCACCTTAAATATGGAATTTCAAATGGAGCACTGACATGTACTTTTTAATTTTTTGTCTGTATTTTTCTTAAGAGTAAATGTTTTGTTTTTTTTCTATAAACTCTATCCCTGCCACCCACAACCCTACCCACAACACCCACTATTCAGCTTATTAAATGATAATAGTAACTCTTTAGGAAGACAGCTAACTGATATACAGTACTCTAACACCAACCCTGAAAACTGACAATCTCATTCATTTACTGTAACTTCAATACTGTTGCTGACAGAAAAAAAAGTTACCTTAAGGCTTAAGGGAAAGTCACTTATTATAACTGTGAATGCAGTGTTGTTTACTCTCCCACCAACTGGGAGCTAGCAAAATGCATTCTGGATCAATAATACAAACTTTCTAACATTAGAGTTAGAATTCATATGCAGATTATCTAGGGGAGCCTGAGAAACCATGATCCACATCAGACAGATTCCATGTATTTCATGTTCAAAAAGTGCTTAAATCATTGAGAAATGTCAGGGTTAAAATGTAAATATACAATGTAAAATCACTGGACACTTTCTCAAGTGAAGTACAAAGTGGGAAAGGAGCAAAAAGATGAGGCTCTGCTCTCTGAACAGGCCTTATGCATGTTACTTTTTGGGTGCATTAAAATTAAAATTGTTTTAAGAGTTACAGTGGGGTTTTACACCACTTAACATATTCTAGAACCTGAGATCAGACATCATAGCAGTCAACTCTGTTACTTATCAGAGCAATTGATACTTCCTAAAAACAGAAGACAACTCAATTAACCAACTACAGGGTCAAAAACATTAACTTCCCCAATCAAAAAGGAGGCCAATCACGAATGCATCACACTGAGAGTGCTGCACAACAGCTCTTAGCAAGAGTCATTCTTGTGCAAGCAAAGTCATCTCCCCTCTTCCCCATCACTGATCAAGGCCACACTATTTTCAAGTGAATATCTACTGAGAGATCAGCTGTGAATTAGACAAAGTACCAAACGGTTAAAAATGAAAACAAATTTACAGTGAAGAATACTTATGTGCATGGCTTACACTCAAGCTTCTCCTTAATTTCATCCACCAAGGTGGACACAAATGGATAGTCACCTTTCAACAGCTTGTGTAGATCACATTCTACACCCCCCACCCCCCAACCATAAAGCCAGTCAAGGTCACATTTAACAAAGCACCCTTGGCAACTATGGTGCCTGAAGTGTGCAGCCGTTTACAGGCCACTCAATATGAGGGCATTATTATAACCAGCCTCTTCTGCCCACAACCCTGTGTTTTCAGGTAAGACAGGATAACTTATTTTGAGAAAACAGAAGCCTGAATCTCTTAAAAGACCTGCAGTTTACTGCAAAATAATGGAGAGGTAACAAAGGAAGCAGGAGGTTAATGGCTTCCTGTGCCAAAGCCTCTCCATTGCTTGCAGCAAATAATATGGACAGTGACCTGATCAGCAGCCACGTGTGTGTCACTGCTCCATGCACACCCCCAGCATGCGTCCCATAGCAACACAGGGTGTCTGGGTTTTTGGTTTGATTTTCACTGAGTTTTGGTGACATACAGATTTATACTTTGTTGTGCAGCACATTCTTTCTTGACTGGAACTGCTGCTCTACTTGAATGACAGATGGGGACAATAAAAACCAGAAGGAAACAGTAGGATTTTGTCACAGACTTTTTGCTCTTTTGATTCTGTTCTCAAAATTTGACTTCTCACTTAACTGTGATGCAGTAGTATGAGAAACAAACATCCTACCAATTATCCGAAAAGGAACTTTAGTTCCCTTCAGGAATCTGACTATTCTGAACATGTCACTTGCTGGGAAGTTTGCCAAAGTTGAAAAACAAGCCCTAACTCACTGCTCACAGTAGTGGTTGAAAAACAACACAAAACAAAATCAGTTGTTTCCCACAGCCTGTACAATGCCATTTTCTAGCAGAATTAACAAAGATCTTTTCCTTCAATAATCAATATTTACAAACAAATTCTGAAAGATGGCCTATTAGTACGGGTTGTTGTTTAACAAGCCACACACCCAAAGTGTAGTCTCGGTGCTTTGCATATTTCTATTGCCCCTGGTGACTGGAATGAGGGTCAGTGAAATGCTACAATTAATCCAAACCCTTCCATAATCTTCCTGCAGTGAGAAAAGAGGCCACAAACCACCCCCTGCAGGAGACACAAACCTTCAAGATTGGTTAAGCCTTTAAAAACCCACCACTATGACATCTACACTTAAATTTATGCAGGCAGGTCAAAATTTTAATATAAATTACTTTTTCCAACACATAGCTTATGCATTCTTTGCTCCTTTTTTGGGAGGATTCTCAAATTGATACCTAATGATTTACATACGATATATTACTGTTACATGGTCTAATGACTAAGAAAACTTCTCTGGTAACCAGAGCTGATGCCATATATGGTAGTGTTCTTGGCCTATACTCAATATGCCTCAGACCACTTCCACATTCTTCCTATTCAGCTAATTATAGCTTAGTAGCTACTGGTGAAGGATTGTGAAGACCCTGTCATTTCTACAGAGTAGAAAGACAAGGCTAGTTACTGCAATTCAGCCAACCAAAAAATAGAATAAAGAATAAAACCACTCCTTAAAAAGGAGAGGTACTGCACCTTTGCAAAACTGAACTGGCTCACTGCAGCTGAGCAACAGAACACCACTGAAGCAAGAAAACAAGTTGGTCTGTACAGAATTGTACATGGTTTGAAAATGAAAAAGTTAAAGCAATCAACTCACAGGTGCAATCATGATTTTCATTGCTGCCTCAGAGTATGAAACTTAAACAGTTTCTGCAAACCTAATGCTAGCTTCTCAGTTTCTTTACTAAAATTAGGGATTTGTTCTCCGCAGCAAAGAAACACACTCAAAACACATAGGTAAATACAGCAGGACATTATTGAAAACAGCTGCCTCATAGTACAAAATACAGTACAAGTATACAGATGTCATTAAAACATCAAAAATACTATTGCTCCCATACAATTTAGGAAACATTCTTTGCAACGGAGAAATTTTTTTTTAAAAAAAGAAAAGCTTTAAAAAAATCTTTTTAAAAAGTCTACTATGGGGGTAAAACTAGAGAAATAGTCTGAAAAGGGCACCAATGTTTGTGGCTCTTCCACTTAAAAAAAAATCTAAGATTAACACTATCTGAATGATAGTCTAATTTTTTAAAAAGCCTAATTTTATATACACATTTCCCTCCCTCTCAGCCACAATGCATGAAAACGACCTTTTTGTATATTAGTTCTCAATAAATACAAAAAGATTGTATAGATTGAACAATACCAAAATAAGATAATAAAAAGGGTATGCAATAAATTAAAAGGCAGCTCAAATAAAGGGTAGGCATGCAGTTAAAAAAAAATACTAAGATTGTGGAGGTGAGGTTACTTGCCTCCTGCTTGAGAAGGTGTCACACGAATACCTGAAAACTGGAAGGAACATTAGCTCCCATTCAATTCAGTTACCTAGGTCTCCGACACTTCTAGGAATACCTTTTGATGGGGCAAGATTAACTTGATTAGTAAAAATCATTTCTATTGATAATCCATTTAAAATATAGAAGAGGCGATCCTTGAAAACCCCAACTTTTATTCTTGAAAGACAGCTGGATAAAGTGGCAAAAGCATTTGTTGAAATTGCAAGATGGTATAAAAATGCTTCCAGGATATAGTCAGCATATTTCAGATGGATTTCTGCTTCCAAAGGGCACACTGCTTGAATCACTCATCCATCATTTGCCAGCTCTGACTGAGGTACTGATAAAATGGATCAAGTTCTTAAAAATTTATTTTAAAAGAATAAATGATGCTGGAATTCTGGACCTGAGGATCTCTAGTATTTGAACAAATCCACAGACTAAACTGAAGGTAGATGTAGACTTCAGTTTTGGTTATTTCCAACTTTTCTGTGATGACGTATATTGCATTAAAGCTCAGGCTTGTAGCCACATGGTTCCTTCTGTAGACACCTTTTGAGTTTTACGGTTTAAAATACAGCCAACCAGTGGCTGAATAGCCAAATTAGCCACTGTTCACCGGCTGGCATCCTGGAGCCCTCGGGATCTGGCTCCTGCTGCGCCTCAGCCATTTCTTGGTAATGACCCCCGTATGTGGAGATCAGGGGAAGAACTTCAGTAAGCAGCAACCAATCCACTCAAGACAGTTTTCCTTGTGCTTTATGCCTGACTTCTTCCTGTGCCTACTTCAGCAACCAATGTAAAACTGTTCTTTCACCTTTGAAAAATGTTTGCCAACTTTTAAAATACTTTAGGAACATATCTCTAGCTTAAGGACTGACATCTGAGTCCATTTGCATCCAGGAAAATCATTCTGCAGAGACATGGACCATGGTCCAGGTTTCATGCAAAACTATTTTAAACAGAATGGATTCAGTTTGTTTTTGTATTCCCCTGTGGGAATTCTCAAATTATTTTGCCCTGTTCTTGATTAAACTTTCATTCCTGTTCATGGAACTTGTATCCTCAGAAGTGGATATCTGCAAGGGCTTCTCTCTTCTCAAGAACTCCGTGGAAATGGAGGTTAAGGGATAGACACCGCAACGGTGAGGTCTGGAGGGCTTCTGGAGCAGGTTACCCAAGTACAACACAAACTCAGCTGGTTCAGAGGTGTTCCTTGGCTGGACGACGCAAAAGCTCTATCTCCTCCAGGGTCATCCTGATGGGTTGAGGAACCTCAGCTGGGAAACAACAGGAGAGACTCTTTTGCTCAGGCAACAAGTTGCTGTTCTCTCTCTGCAGGTTGCTGTCAGTTCTCTGGAACTTTACTGCTTTTCTAAAATTATCTGTGATTGTTGTCTTGCGGTTATTTCTATTTAACTATATTATTAAAATTTTTGGTTTCTTCCTCTGGACCTCCCGTGCACCCCCCTCCACTCGCTCACCAGGAATGAGCAGGAAGCTCCTCTGCCAAGCAGACGGTGGTGGGGTGGAAGGCCGTCGGGTTTGCGGCGCGTCTCAATCCTCATCCACTTCCTCGCCCTCAGACTCGTCCCCGCAGCGTCGCTCGTAGAGCTTGTCCCTCTGCCGCTCCTGGATCTCTTTCATCTCATCCGCATACCGGCAGAAGGCACCCCCGAACTTGCCCCAGGCCTTGAAGGGGACGGTGATGGCGTTGCGGTAGGATGGCTTCACCTCGCTCACGCGCAGGAACACGCCATACTTGTTGCAGCCTACGTCGAAGAAGAAGCGCTTCGAATCCACCGTGATGGAGGTACCCTCCGGCAGCTCCGCGTACAGGCCGCTGCCACCGCAGCCCGCCAACTCGTCGTCCTCGCCGCCGTAGTCGTCGATGAGCTTGGCGAGAGCGTCGCGGAACTCGATGAGGCCCTGCGCGGGCAGCGCGATGGTCTGCCCGCTCTGCAGGCCTCCGGGTCCGGGTCCGCCGCCGCGTGTCACCGTTTGGCGAATGCGCAGAAAGCGGCCGCGCTGGTTCTCCTTGAGGTCCAGGTAGTACTTGCGATTCTCGCGCACGAGAAACTCGCTCTTGAGCGCGCGCCGCGGCCCGCCGCCCTCCTCAGCTCCCGCCGCAGCCGCTACCTGCTCAGGGCTGCTGGGGCCCAGCTGCGCGTAGTGCTCGATGAAGTCGCCCAGCGAGTCGCGGAACTCGGCAGCCACGGCCATGGACAGCGTGAGGCGGCTCTTGGAGCCGCCCGCGCCCACCTCGGCGATCTTGAGGAAGCGGCCTTTGGCGTTCTGCTTCACATCCAGGTAGAAGCGCTTGTTCTGGATGTCCAGCCGCTTCGAAGCCAGCTCCTGCGTCTCCTGCTCTCCGCCGCCGCCGCCGCCGCGGGACGCGGGCTGGAAGCCGCCGGGCGCCCCGCCGCCGCGCTCACTGCCGCTGTCGCCGTCCGCCATCTTCTCGGCCACCGCCTCTGCCTCACCCTGGCCGCCGCCGCTGCTGCCCGCCCGCCGCGCTCGCGTGCCTGCTCGTCCTCCGCCCTGCGGCTAGCTCTCCGGGGCCTCCAGCTTCGGCCGCCGGCCCTCACGCACTCGGGCCGCTGATGGCGGGCCTCCGCCGCTGCCCCCCCATCGCCCCCGCGCCCCACACCGCCGCTTCCGGCCGACCTGCGTCCGCTTCCGGCGCGTGCCCTCGTGACGCCACCCAGCCCACCCTGAACCCCGCAGCTGGAAGCAGCAGGGCGCGTAGCAATGACGTTGACCGGCGGACGGTGGGAGTGACGTCTGCGTGTGCGATGCGACTCCGCATGCGCCGAGGTCTCTGGGGCGCGCGTGGCTTTTAGGTGGTACGAAATCTGGGCCTTCGGTATGCGTCGCTGCGTGCGGGCAGGGGTGGGCGATCGAGCTCCAGCGTCCCCGTCCCATCCCCACGGTGACAGCCTGAGGTGGGGGTGGAGGCCACGTGCCGCGCGCGTGAAAGCGTGCATTCCCCATGAGGACAGCCTGAGGCCGGGGGTGGGACCGGCCGGTCGCTTTGCCCTTGGCGTTTGAGTCCATGTCCCTGCCGTCAAATACGAGCCTGAGAGTACGGGGAGGAAAACAAAATTTGGGCCTTGAACGCTGCAGTCTTGCAGAGGGTTTGGACCCTAGGGAAGGAACTGGGAGCCTCGTGCACGTAGCGGCTTGGCTGACCTAGCGGGTCACTTGCTTCCTTTGGGGCCGAGGGCACCTCCGCACTGGTCATCTACCAGTTTGGTTTTCCTGAGTTAAGTTCTGGTTAGAGTTAGTTCTATTGCTTTGCTTCCGTCGAAGTGTTGTTCTGTGCCTTTAAGCTCCTTTCATGTATTTGATAATCATATTTTTCAGACTTTCTGCGGTTTGATTTTTAAACGCAATCATACCGTGTTTTTGTATTTACACTTTTCTGATTTTAGTTTGTCTGGAATATATTTGGGTGTATAGTATAAAGAATAAAAAATTTCCTTCAAATTACCAGTTATTCCTGTCCTATTTATTGAATAACCCTTCAAGGCCAGATCTTGACAGGTAGAGGTGGATGTGGGTTATTTTGGGCAGAGGGAACATGTGTTCTCAGATGGTAAGAAGTCTAGTTTGGCCGGATTCCAGGGTCTTCGAGGAGAGAGGGTGAAGGTCAGAGTGGGTGGCAGCTACCAGGGCCAGGGGGGACATTGACCTGCAGGCAGGGGCTTAGACTTGAGTTGAGGGAGGGCCCTGGAGCAGTATGAGCAGGAGTATGACACATCTGCTCTGGACCTGGAGAAGGTGATCCACGGCAGAGGACAGCAAGGGTAGGCTCAGTTAGGAGGCAGCGATGGTGTTGCATACCCAAGCCAGAAGGGACTGGATGGGGCTGGTGGAGAGGGAGGAGCATGTGGGACTTGGGCGCGGGAAGGGTCAAGATTTAGAAAACACCAGACATGGAGATGTGAGAGAGGAGCAAAGGATGGTTTCAGAGCGTGTGCCCACAGCTGAGGGCAGATGAGCCTTGTTGCAGATGCAGGCTGTCACTGAGCTGTGCCCCCAGAAGTTCCCATGCTGCATGTGTTAGGTGCTCCATGAGCGGCCTTTGTGCATTTATGGAATATCAAATTCTTTCCCCAGAAGTTTGTTACTCCTTTTTTTTTGTTATCATTAATCTACAATTACATGAAGAATATTATGTTTACTAGGCGCTCCCCTACCCCAAATGCCCCCCACAAACCCCATTACAGTCACTGTCCATCAGCATAGTAAGATGTTGTAGAATCACTACTTGTCTTCTCTGTGTTGCAAAGCCCTCCCCTTTCCCCCACCCCTCACATTATACATGCTAATCGTAATACCACCTTTCTTCCCCGCCCTTGTCCCTCCCTACCCTCCCATTCTCCCCAGTCTCTTTCCCTTTGGTAACTGTTAGTCCATTCTTGGGTTCTGTGATTCTGCTGCTGTTTTGTTCCTTCAGATTTTCCTTTGTTCTTACACTCCACAGATGAGTGAAATCATTTGGTGTTTGTCTTTCTCTGCTTGGCTTATTTCCTGAGCATAATACCCTCTAGCTCCATCCATATTGTTGCAAATGGTAGGATTTGTTTTCTTCTTATGGCTGAATAATATTCCATTGTGTATATGTACCACATCTTCTTTATCCATTCATCTGCTGATGGACACTTAGGTTGCTTCCATTTCTTGGATATTGTAAATAGTGCTGCAATAAACATAGGGGTGCATCTGTCTGGAGTGCTGCAT